ATATATATATATATCCAATGGATGCCGTCGACAATGTCAAGGCTGGCTCGCATTTGACAGGGGGCGGCAAGTCTATGTTAGATCTGCGTTCCGACACAACCATTTCTTTTGGCTACGCGCCTCAGCGTAACCATGGTGTCTCACAGTTTCAGGTCCCACCCGCATTGCCTCTCTTCCGAATGATAAGGCAGCTCGTGGGAGCTGGTGTGTGAAACGGGTAGAAGTAGAACATTTCTTGAAAAAGGTAAAAGCACGTCAGAGATGCCTCAGCAGCAGCAGATGAGCGGCGATTTAAGAATGAGCTTAAGACCGACAAAGGTGGGGAGGAAGCAGAATTAAGTAGAAGAAAACGAAAGGTCGAGTAGTACTTACAATCTGTCCTCTCCTCTCTTCGTTCCCTTCCTCTGCAGGAATTGCAAGCCTCCGGCATCGACATCTCCAGCACCTTCTGCTACAGATCTGGGACGGTCGGGCCTCCCGCTCCTCGGATGCGACGTCTCTCGAGGAGGATTTGAGAGGGTGAGGAGGAGGAGAGGAGGTAGTGATGAGTTCGAAGAGCAAAGGAGGAGATACTGTGGCGAGGAGATGGACCCTTCTGCTTTGCCTGGGAAGCTTCGTCACTGGCCTCCTCTTCACCAACAGGTACTCTGTTTCACCCCCAAATCTGTTCTCACCTGGCTTTAGTTCTTGATCCAGATTAAGGGCTTCATGATTCGATCCACATTTTGTGCTTGGAACTGTTAGATTGGGTAGGGGTTCTTTGAATTTTCACTGCAAATTTCCCCCAACAGGTGATTAATTGAAGGATCTTGGGACTGATCAGGACTTGGGAAATGATTCTTGGTGAGAGAGTCGCAATGGGTAGCCAGAAAATATAGAACTTTTGCCCCCCTTATTTTGATGTCTGAGAGTAAAGATACAATGCTTTGATAGTTTATGCGAAATAGGTTATGAGTTGTGACCTTTGCTTTGGTCAATTTCCATCACTTGTCAGTGAGATCATATGCAGTTCCTGAACCATCCAGATCAGCCCTGGTGAATGCATGGAATGCCTGGCTTCTACCATCATATGAATGCTGGAAAATGGAACTTTGAAGATTGTGTTTGAGGAGGCATTGTGAGCTTCATTAAAGTATATAAGAAATGAAGAAGATGCATTGTAGTTGATGCCAGATTGACTGTTCCCATGAACATGCTAAAGCATCCTTCTCCTGTTTAAGAGAAATTGAGTGCATTAAGAACATAATGCATTGTGTTTCAGAACACTTGGCTGGAGATACATCTTTCTGTCAATATTCAATAATCTAAAAACTTGGTCCTACTAAAAGCCTTTTGCTGATCAGAGTCATATACTGGTACATTTAGTTTGGTCAGGTACACCATTGTTGCTTTCACCAAGCTTACTAGACACGATATTTCTTATGAATTCTGTTTGTGTTTTCTCATAGTTTATTCTGTGTTTGGTGACAGAATGTGGACGGTGCCGGAAGCAAAAGATATAATCAGAGCAAACAAGGCCAAAGAACATAGAGAAGAGCTCGTTGTAGAAGGATATTATTCAAAAATAGTGAGTGCCTCAATTTTGCTTTATGTTCACCAATCTAGTACAAGTTCCTTTTTCATAAAATTGACTTTGCATATAACTGTCAGTTCGAACAAAGTAATGGATTTTGTTTTCTTTCTTCAGTTTATCAATATTAAGAATTTTAGATAAAATCTTGTTTCATTCTTCAATCTGTAAATATGATGTTCTGGGATGGATGGACCATGAATAAATTTTTTTCCCTTCAATTTGTCAATGCAAAGTTTTTGCTTTGAGATATAATATATGTACACAATAAGCAGCACTGACATTAAAACAAATATGCAAATCATCAAGTGTTTTCTATTACATGCTGAAGATATCCAATGTGCTAGTCGTTTGGGAATTTTATTCTTGGTTGTGGTGTTCTGTGAATGCATATCAATTGTAATTGTACAGTCATTCTTTCTCTTCTGTCTTCTCAGATGGACCAGAAGGAAGAGGCGAGAAAAATTCTGGGGGAAGAAGGCTCAACAACTGAAGATGACCTTCAGTATGCTATATTATTTTGGTTATTAGTTGGATTTCATTAAATTTTGATGCCACACTTGGAATTCTGTTACGTGTTTGATACTCCCAGATTGGAAAAAATCCCTCCAACTTAACAAGAAATAGAAAATCTTTGCGTCCAGAATGCTAAATAAAGCAATATCAAACTTAGAGATGGAGCTAGCAGCAGCAAAGATGGCACAGGAGTCTATACTCAAAGGTTCTCCTATTCCACAAGAACTGAAGGTTATTAAAACAAGAAGACACAAATATTTTATGGTTATAGGAATTAATACTGCTTTTAATAGCCGCAAACGAAGAGATTCAGTTCGTGATACGTGGATGCCACAAGGTATGTAATTTCGTTTAACATTCTTCTAGTTCATGCAGCTGAACTTATCATGGTAGTTGATTGGATCTCAAATACGCTATAGGTGAAAAAAGAAAGAAGCTAGAAGAAGAGAAGGGCATTGTCATCCGCTTTGTTATCGGTCATGGGTGAGCAACATCTATTACCATTCTTTGCCTTATCATTTAGATCTCAAATTATCCATTTTTAAAATTTTGTGCAGCATTTGTGTTTCCAGGATCCACTATTGTAGGGCAAAAGAGGAAAATGAGGAAAAGAACAACTGTAGCCTAGGGCATGAAGCATCTACCACTGCAGAGCTGAGGATAATACTTACCCATGCCGACCCTCTGCATTGAGATATGCTTATCGATAAACATCCTATCTATAGGATGCATTGAGATATGCTTATCCATAAACGTCCTATCTAGGATGCAACTCAGAAACCTTACTGTTGCACTCAGGCCTATAGGATATTTATTTATGCACTTAACACTTCCTTCTAATCATCCAATCACTGTTTGAGAACAGTGAAATAACTTCAATATGGGTTACAGTGCATCTAGTTAGATGTGGTAACTGAACTTAGATGTCTCGAGTCTTTTCAAATGTTTGAAAAATTAATGATCTGTGCTAGGCACTAGACCATAAATTTTCTCAACTTATTTTCTCTATTTGATATTTTTGATGTGCCATTCAAGGAACACAAGGCATGAAAGCACTACTCAGGATATGCTCTTGATTTTAGCTGGTAATTTGCTAGGAGCTCTCCAAAATTTATTTTACCCTTGCATTGGTGTGCTAATTATGCTATTATTAATTAGTTACGCCAACTAATTTGGAATAGAAGCTCTAAAAAGGGCAAGAAAATAACAGAATTTCGATGCTTGCAGATTATGGATTTATGCCAAGGCTACAAATTTTCAGTATCTTTGCATAAATGATGCTTTCTTAGTACACATACCAAGTAAATTGCTTGATACTTGTTTGTAGTGCCACTTCTGGTGGAATTCTGGATAGATCAGTTGAAGCTGAGGACAAAAAGCATGGTGATTTCTTGAGGCTTGTAAGATAACCATTTCATTTTCATATATCGCTTCTATAGCCTGTCCATTTCACCGATGAGGCTGTTCCTAAAAAGGATCTCTAATACTAAAAAGGCAGAGAACATGGGGCCCTTGATAATGTATTTGTTTGCAGAATCATGTTGAAGGATACCTAGAGTTATCAGCCAAAACAAAAACATATTTTGCCACCGCTTTCTCTTTGTGGGATGCAGAGTTCTATGTTAAAGTTGATGATGATGTACATGTGAATATAGGTAAATGTTCTATTATATTTCTTTAACTTGACTCTGATATTTTATTTTAACCTGATTGCATCTATATGCATACATAAATATGTAAGTAGTTGTGTCCTAAGTTCTGCAAATTTGGTCTCAATTTTTGATGGTAATACAGGAATGGTTAGTAAGGGCTAACCTAATGTGGGCCAATAATGTTGAACAACATGTGCAGACCATGTAACATATCATGATGAAATGGGCATGCATTTGAACAATGAGAACACTGGATGATGTATAAACTATGCACTCATGAAACTGATGACATTGCTGAGCTTGTACTATTTGGTATTAGAAATTGATGACAATCACAATATTCTCTGAGACAGTGGAATGTAGATTATTTGTTATTTTCCTAGATTTGTCTTCTTTGTTTAAGTGATTTAAATTTAGTACTGTCCTCGTATTAGCTGCCAACATTAACCTGATTGAATGTCGAGAGATTAATCTACTGCTTTTAGTCGCTAGCTTTTAATGGCAAAAAATTTATCTGCACTTTTGCTTGGAAATTCAAATATTTCGAAGGATAGTATAATAATGGATTTTATTAGTGACAAAACATACATTTTTTCATGATAACAAAAGATGCCTGACAAAGCATTTCAAAGGCTGTTCATGTTGTAAATGATATAATTTACACTGCCTTACCGTAGAAAATGGTTAATAATATTATTTTGCTAGTATCAAGATCTATAATCTTTCTAAGGATCAATGTTGCAGGAAGCAAGAGTTAATCAGATTGGAAGTAATAGGCTTTTATATCTTATTTTGACTACGTTCAAAATTTTGCAGCAACATTGGGAAATACTTTAGCAAGACATCGTTTGAAACCTCGAGTATATATTGGATGCATGAAGTGTGGTCCTGTCCTTGCTCGAAAGTGAGTGTTAAACGGTGGATTTGGTCATTGATTAGTTTAGCATTGTCAAGTGATCTATACTGACATGCAAAATATCATGCTATAGGGGGGTGAGATATTATGAACCCGAACACTGGAAGTTTGGAGGGGATGGCAACAAATACTTCCGACATGCTACTGGTCAATTGTATGCCATTTCGAATGAATTGGCCGCCTATATATCCATAAACCAGTAAGGCAACTTTAGCTTGAAAATTTTGATATAAATTCAGTAATCAAATTATGCTTTGGTTGAACCAAAGCTAAAATCTAACAGAGCAGTTCTTTATCAATGCTATATCTCATTTGTCTGTTTTTGGTTCTCTCTTAGTGAAATAAAGTCTCGGACTCCTTCAATTTCAGGCATATACTGCACAAGTATGTGAACGAGGATGTATCATTAGGATCTTGGTTCATAGGATTAGATGTTGAGCATATTGATGACCGCAAACTATGCTGTGGCACCCTACCTGGTAAAGATGCTTACTGTTTATGTTTGATGTTTGAATTCCTAATATTCAATACTGGAACAATATGCAGATTGTGAGTGGAAGGCCCAGGCAGGCAACACTTGTGTCGCCTCATTCGATTGGAGCTGTAGTGGTATCTGTGATTCTGTTGATAGGATCAAGGAAGTTCATCAGCGTTGTGGCGAAAATGAAAGCACAATCTGGAATGCAGTTTTTTGATCAGTGTATCCCTCTTAATTGGGTAGAGGCTATACTGTTGTAAAACTGTATATGTGTATCAATAGGAAATGTATGTTTGGTAGGGGAATTGTAGTGGAATGGTCTTTGGAAACGGCTCTCTTCATTTTTACTAGAGAAGGCCCTAAATCTAAAATGGGGTTAGGTTGGGTGAATGTGGTGTTTCCGAGCACATTCTTTACAATGTACTTGACATTGTCTGTCTAATCTCCTACATATGATTACTGGTACTCACTCGGATGCAGACTGACGCTAATCCCCAAGTAGGTTCTTGTGCTGTTGATCGACTCATAGCTAGCCTCACCGAAATGGCATCCAACGCACGTTGTAAAGGTCCGGATTAGCGAGACGATGTCTTCCTAAAACCATCTTGATGATAATAGAGTTATCTGCAGCTTGCGCGCAAGTCAATATGATGTAGAACTATCGGGCAAACGGATGTGAAGACAACCAAACCGACCTGACTCGAGAGGGGGAAGAAGTTCAAGAACCAAAAATGTCAATTCTAAGATGGCACGCATTCCACTCGTATCAACAATCAAAACTATGGATCAAAGCTGCCCTAAATGAATCAAATTCTTCGACCGCCTAACCGATTTCTAACCGAGATGGGCGCTGCTGGAACAAGAGAGCCAGACGGCTCCAACTCCATCAAATCCTCCAAACGTGCAATCTCGAGGCCAGGCCTTACCGAGAACCAAAGCGGACCAAGAAACAAAGGAAGATAACCACTTACTTGTAAGAAAAGCCCCATCGCCAGCCCGATAATTGAGCGGGCGCGGCTTCCGCGGTCGTCCTCGAGCTACAAACCAGCCGGAGCTCCATCTCCACGGCCACCGCTCCAAGATCGCACACGGCGCTTCTAATCGTTCCGAACCCAAAGGTGGATAGCGAAGACTATGTGTCATTAAATGGTAAATCGAGCGGATCATAACACTGTGCACGAATCTCAAAGTGGGATGGGCGTGGATCATGTTTCCTGATGAATATACTATAGATCGAAAAAGAGGATGACTGCCACGCAATAAAATGTGTGCCACTTAAACTTAAAATTTGAAATTCAAAATATAAGCTTGTCTAATTTTGCATTTAATTTAAATGAAATTAGAGAATATCCGCAGCGAATTAGATGAACCATTATTATATCGGAAGATTTCCGTTCATCCGCTGATCGGGCCCACTAAACATCAGCCAATGGGGGTCGTCGAATGGCCGATCTCTGCAACCAACCCGTAAAGCCCAGCGGCCTCGTCACGTCGGCCACCGTCAGTCCCCGTCCCCATATCAACGGGAAACACAACCACCCGTTTGTCCTACCTACAGCTATTGATGGAGGCGGCGATGCTATCTTGTGGACCCCAATCCTGCGCGAGTCACAAGACATATAAGCCGGTCATAGTGGCAAACGGGTCCTTCGGCCTGGATATGAAAAATATCTCCTATCTTCGATGCCGTTCCAAAGACCGGATCGGCGTCACCATCACCGTTGTCGTCATCAGCAGTATCCTAAAAATAAAAATAAAAATATCACCTTCGTCTTAATTTCCACACACGAAAATAAAAGAAAGAAAAATGAATTACGAGTTTTTGTGTTGGAGTTTATTAGGGTTATTGAGCGTTCTGCTTCCACACTCCACCCACCCCATCCGACTCCCTCATCATGTATAAAGTTGCCTCTCTTGGACGACTCCGCACCCACGACCCTTCTCCTGCGTCTTCAGCCTTTCGATCTCTCTCCTCCTCCTCCTCTTCCTCATCCCCTTCTCTGTTTAGGCCTATCGCTTCTCGTTCGCACCTTCGATCCTCGCCCGTACACTCTAGATCCGTCGGCTTTTCGAGATCCTGCAGCTCGTACATCCCCGGATCGCGGGTCGGGTTGTCGACGAGTTGGAGGTCCCCGATCGGTCCCAGGGCGCGAATCAGGAGCTCAGCTGCAGTGATCGAACGGTTCGACAGGAAGATGGCCACCGTCGGTACGTGGAACGCTTGAATCTTTCTCACCTAGTCGATCGGTGTTTGGTAGAAACCTTACAGACGGTAGAAAGTTTGACTATTGATGGTTTTCTTTTAGTTATTTCGTGATGATTGCGAATCGTGCGAATCGTGATGATTGCAGTACAAAATGATCCGTTGATAGATGTCTTTAATGATTGTCTTAATATGTTTTAGGTTGTTCTTTTTGTTATTTCGGGCTTGTGAGTGTTGGTTTTTCTGATGTCGTTGTGCGAATCGTGATGATTGCAGGGCAAAATGATCCGTTGATAGATGTCTTTAATGATTGTCTTGAACATGTTTTAGGTTGTTCTTTTTGTTATTTCGGGCTTGTGAGTTGGTTTTTCTGATGCCGTTGAGCGAATCGTGATGAACGCAGTACAAAATGATCCGTTGATAGATGTCTTTAATGATTGTCTTGAACATGTTTTAGGTTGACTGTAGGCATGAGCTGCAATTTTGTGCGATTATACGTAAGCGTAGCCTTGGATCTTGCATATGATGTTAGAAGGTAGAGGTTGTGTGGGGTTCCCACAACCTCATTTTTGGGCTTAAATCTTAATTTAGATAGTAGTGGAATACTAGAACAACGGAAAGCTAACTTGCAACCTGAGATATTCAGAAAGACCAAATGCAAATACGTTATGTGGATATGGCTTGCAATTTAACAGTTTTACTTAACCCTGTACCTTACGTTGTAATTGATCAATAGTTAATCACTTGATAGTCCTTGAATTTATCATCTCGTGATGTGCATATATATAAATGAGCCAAGGATTGTATTTGAAGTTGTGTTTGCTGCTTACTTGCTATTAATGGATTATATTTTATTGTAACTGTATGCAGTCTAGTCCTAAATTCTTGTTTTTTATCTTATAAGTAATCATGTAATTATTTACTTATACACAATTTTCAATAGAATTGTATATTTCTTTTCCATATTTAGTCTTTTACTCTTTTTTCCTTTGAAGAACTACCCGTGGATGGTTTTTCTAGTACTTCATCCATGAATCTGCTACAAGCAAATATGTGTGTTGTACAAAAAGATATCAGATGGATGTAATAGGCTTCATGAAAATTTTGAGTGTATGCAGATATCATGGTACTTATTATTATGCAAAAGGGAGCTATCTTTGTCGAATTAAATCATCCATTTATAAATACTTTCACCTTCTTAGGAATCATTTGTCTCTCCACTTATGCACTCAAGTAGCTGTTTTTTCTAATTTCTTTTATGCTTTATAATGCACATCATAGTATGTATAATCAACAAAGAAAATATTATGATGCTACTGTTCTAACATTATGTTTTCCCAGACACTGTAATCTTCATCTGAATATAAGTTTTTCAATAACTTTCAGTTGTCAACTTTGGTCTTATGCTTTACTGTTACATGTCAGCTACTGAGAATGTCTTCAAGGATGTCCTAACGAGCCTTCCAAAGACTGGGGGTGGTGAATATGGCAAATATTACAGTTTACCTGCCCTTAATGATCCAAGAATAGGTAATCTGTCTGCTAAATCTGCTAGTTGTAATGACATTGTTTATTTTGTGTAGAAATTTCGACATCTTTTTACTATTGTAGTACTAATGTGATCAGTTGACTCATACTTATCATTTAGCTAGATGCACAATGCACATAAAAAAAACAAAACTGAAAATTCTTTCTGTTGAATTATTTAGGGTCATGACATCCAGTGATTATATGTGGCTTCGATACATCATGGTCAGGGAATGATGACCAGGAAAGGTTACCAGTTAATATACTCCACGACATTAATCTTTAAACGAAACCATTGGAGGATAATTCTTCCTAAGGTGACTTAATTAGCAGGGCCCCAGTTGTTGCAGTACTAGTGCATGGTTGGGGTCTGATTAAGTATATAAATAATGAATACTGGTTTATCTGCTTTATTTTATTCTTTTTCATCTAGGTACACATGAATTTTTCAGCTCATCTTCTCTCGTATTCTGATGTCTCTCTTTTATTTAACTTCTAGAGTTGTTGTTTCTCAAGTATTTACTTGAGTATTTTTCGTTAGTCTCATCTGTTGGTCTTCGTTGTCCAATCTTGTCACTGTTATCTAACAAAAGACTTTTCTTCTGGATATTAGATAGATTGCCATATTCTATCAGAATCCTTTTGGAATCAGCAATCCGGAACTGTGATAACTTCCAGGTCACCAAAAATGATGTGGAAAAGATTATTGATTGGGAGAACACTTCCCCAAAACTAGTAGAAATTCCTTTTAAGCCTGCCCGTGTACTCCTCCAGGTTTGTTCAACAAGGTCATGTACATCCTTATGATCCTATATTATGGTTTCTGTTTACATATTTTTATTCATACTGACAGGATTTTACCGGTGTGCCTGCTGTTGTTGACCTTGCTTGTATGCGTGATGCCATGAACAAGCTGGGTAGTGATTCCAATAAAATCAATCCCTTGGTGCGTGCTAGTTTCGTTGTTTTACTTCTTTTCATTGCTATGTTTCTATGGTTAAAGTAGCAAATCAACCATTGGCATCATTAGGAAGCAGCATAATTATCCAGGAAATATGGACCAAACATATGCAACAGCTTCTAAAGTGATCTTTCTCTGATGTTTCTTTTGTAATACTTATTACTGGTTCTGCCCTTCATATCCAAGTTTCTTTTACATTTGTTGATTTATTTCCATATGGCAAATGAGTCCTGAAAATCCTGTTATAAAAAATAATAAGTGCGGTTAGCTTCATTTAACTGACTCTCAAGAAGCACTGACGTCAATCCTTTTTGCCAACTTTTGGGTTAAGGACTCTTGCATTTGTTAAGAAGCATAGGTTTCTATCCTTTTTGTTTTTTTGTTGAGGAGTATATACATGTAAATTCTCAAATATGCCAATTGCTAATGAAAAAGTATATTACAATGCCACAAGTATTATACGCTTCAAAAAATATGTGAAAATTTTAAATTTATTCTTTTATGATGTTCTTTGTTTCTGCATTGGGTTACATTTTCTTTTGTGGTTTGCAGGTTCCAGTAGATCTTGTCATTGACCACTCAGTTCAGGTAGATGTAGCTAGATCAGAGAATGCAGTTCAAGCAAACATGGAATTTGAGTTTCAGAGGAACAAGGAAAGATTTGGTTTCTTAAAGTGGGGATCTACTGCTTTCCGTAATATGCTTGTTGTTCCTCCAGGTTCTGGCATCGTTCACCAGGTCTGAAATGTTTCTTAAACTAGTGGACCAATCCTT